TTAGTTTAGTATTTTCTGTTTTATTAAAAAAAAATTAACACAGCCTGCAGCAATAGTATCATTTAGCAGAGAATAATGGAAAAAAATAAATAATATTTTTTTAATACAAAAATGCTGAAGAACTGACTAAGAATTCACTTCAAATCTTTACATCAATACTAACGAAAGAAAATGCTTTATCAAATTTTATGTGAATTTAATATTTCCTTTTTCCAAACTGAGTACAAAATAAGTATACAAACAAATATTTTTTCATCTATTTCAGTGAAACATGAACGATGATTGTACAAAAAGGTGACAAGTATTTCAGATCTAACCATCAAGGCATACACAGATAGAGTAAAAACTTTATGTACAACAATGTCATTTGCAATATTCACAACTGGATGTCTTGCAAACAATGACAAAGAATTTTATGCAACAATTGCTTTTTACCTTTTGCTCCAAAAGTTTACAACCAATAGCAGCTTTCTATCCTTAATAAAAAATGGTACACAAAATCTGGAAGTACAATAACTTGCAGAAAAAACACTTTGTTTGTGAACACTAAAACCAGCTGAATATCATTACTCAGAAGAAAAAAAATATACATATATAATCAAATTTTTGGTTGATAATTAAAGACAACATTGCCTCAGAAATTTCTCACCTTGTGATACAATGACCTATAATGAAGTGATAAAAAGGACCTTCCCATCTCTTACTGTCACAGACATACAATGATGGACAGAGTTCACCAAAACCCATGAAGAGAATATTACTCATTAATTCAGACATTTATTTATTATTTACTTGTGATTCGGACACTTATCTGCGTTCAAAAGCTTAGACAATGAAGTTATTTACTCGGATTAACTATAAGGCCTAGTGACAGCATGGATGTTAAAGTCTTTTACAAAGTTGTGTTCTATGAAGCTCCTAGTGCTGGAAAGAGTGGCAAAAGATAGGCCCACAAGTCTTCAGATTTTTTTTCCTTAATGTTTGCAGCAAGATTAAAAAAAAAAAAAAAAAAAAAAAAAAAAAAAAAAAAAAAAAAATTCACAGACTCAACACCATAGCAAAGACTTGAGAATGCCTCTTATTCTTGCTAATACTGATAAGACACTTGAGCAGATTATGATGGACCGAGTTACAAAGGTTAATAGCAACGGCACTAATCAATACTCGAGGCATAGGGATGTTCCTTTTTTTTTTCCAAGTTGTGGCTTGACGCACACGATTGATTACACTTTGTTTGGAATGGTAATGCTGGATAAAGAAAATAATAACAAAAAAATAAAATAGAAAATAAAAGATAAGAGTGGGGACCAACCTCAAAAAAAAGTTAGAGTATCTTGCATATATAAAAGAAAAGAAGAAGAAAAAAAAGACAATTTAACCTTTTAAACTTCAAACACTATTTCAGCCTGAATTTCTGAGACTCTGAATACAATATTCTGCAACAAACAATAACAACTCTTTAAGTGAGAGGCAATGCAGAGATGTTGCTTCTATATGGTCTATGATTTTTATCACATAGGCATAATAACTATGATGAAAGAAAAAAAAAAATCTATGGCAGCTACTGGTGAAAATATTCTGAATAGAAATATATACACAATATAAGACACTTTCCAATGAGAACAGTGAGAACCATGCATTATGATGACCACGAATATTGAATGAAAGTGATATCAAAACATGTAAAAACATTTTTTGAAGCTAAATGAACTGTGAATACTACCCACTATGCAATTCATCCTGATTGCATAAAACTGGATGCACTAAAATATACCCGGATTTGCATTCTTAAAAAAAAAGAGAGAAAAAAAAAGTTGAAAAAGACCTTGTAAATTTAGGAAAGCTACATTAGCCTCATGCAAAATTGAAAAGTGAACAACAGCGGGAGCTGCAACTTACAATGCAAAAGGTGAAGTATGCTTCAAAATGATTTAGGAACATAACTGAAAGTATGTGTATAAGCCCTCAGCAGTGATAGCAGTATGGACAACTCAATTTACAATATTATATCTAAATATTTGATACATTCACTACAGTTGAACAGCCACTGATTTGTTTGCAACCCACAAGCACAAATTGGATATTAATTTGATCATTTAGTTGAACCTTTGATAATTAGAAGGATAATTTCACCGAAACAAAGGACTCTAGTCAAAATAGTTAAGAAAATACGTAAGGCTTTAAAAAATTTGAATTTTTGTAGAATCAGAACTTAGATACTTTTTATCAGGTTTATCCAGTAGATTTAGGGAAAAACTCCTCTGTACATCAGGTCAGGTTGAATTCCGAACAAGACTTTGAATAATAAACAGGTGCAGGATCTTGCTTTGCAACCTGGATAGCTGACTGCAACTTATATGCACTGTTATATATATACATATATATAACATGTTTAATGTAGACTGTCAGTGACTGTGATCCCAAATCCTGTCAGCAACTACCCTGCTCAACCAGCTGTAAAACCCGCAAAATGAAGTACCAATGAACATTTCCTCTCTGGTGTTAATCAAGACTCTATAGCCATTAAATCTTATGCAATTACATTATACTTAACATTGGGTGAAGTTGCATCTTTTCATATGGTGATCACAAAGCCTGCTGAGCAACAATATGTTATATATCCATTTTTTTTTTATCAATATTTCTTGTACTTTTGTACTAGCTAATATCACAAGATAATATCACAAATTTGGAACATTAAATACTTCGCAATGAAGAACTTAATTCCACTGTAATGCTTTTGAGTTTGATCAGACTGTTTGTAAGTAAGTTCCCACATCTCTGCACCTGTTTAACACTTGAGCTTTCCTGCAATTGTACACCACCTTGGGTTCTCTCTGGCGACCTGCGGCTTCCACCACACCCTGTCGCTTCCTCAGGGAACCCCAAGGCATCCAAATATTCATACATCCTAACAAGCAACCATAAAATATCTAAGGACACATTATGCGACCACTCCAAGGAGCCTTAGAAAATATTTGTCTGCCAGTAACGAGTACAAACATCCTCTGGTGAGAAATGCAGCTGGTACATGACACCTGACCTGCTGGGCTGCTGCTACAGTACTTCCTCCTTCTGAGAGAAGAGTACCTCAATGACTTAAGACTCATGACGATGTTGTTAGGTCTTCGAGTCCTTGTACCAAGACGTCCTCTTGTAAGAAGGAGGGGACAGCTGGCCGGTCTTCACTAGAGAGGCCGCATTCACCTTCCCAGTGTGCCTTGCCAACACTGTGAGACTGAAAGTTGATAATACATAGTTATTAAGCATGAAAAGGGTGATAGGACATGTTAACAAACATGTAAATTGTGACAGGACATGATTACCAACATATAAAATTTGACAAGTCATTGATACCAACATGTTACATTTCCCAATATCTTATCATGTAAAATCTCCCAAAACATTGATATCAACATATAAAACATGATAATGCATTGTTATCAACATAAAAAAGTTCATAATCCATAACTATCAACTTATCAAAGATGATGAAACATTGACATCAACAAATAAAAAACTATCAAGCCCATGAAGACCTTTGAAAAACAGAAAAGAGATCAAAGGAAATAAATAGATATAGATACTCACCATTGAGATATCTCTCCTCCACGAGCTGCGACACTTGCCGTCACAAAGAGGGCAGGGTCTCTCTAAGGAATAACCACCACACTCACGGCAGTCAAGTGAAACATGATTGTCGCTCCAACTAACGCCACATCTGTTATGGGAGGGAAGAGGATTTGCTTAGATGAGGGGGTATAGGTTGATGACAGAAAAGGGGGTCTTAGAATGCATTGAAAATGATAGTCTAGACATGTATATGAATATGCTTATGTATCTATATGTTTATGTATCTATTTTACTGATGTATAGCTCTACACACCTACACCTACACCTACACAATTAAAATAAGTAAAAATAAACCAAAATAAATACACCAAAATATAAAACAAACAACCAAACCAAACCAAATACATAAATAACATCTCCCCAACTTACGTGTAGCAGGAGTTGTACTGAGAGCGTAGGTCTTCTAAGGTCATCATGGGCTCAGCCACATGATTAGGGTACTGGTGGGTCATCAGGTCAAGTCGTGACAGGCTCTCGCTGCTTTCGCTGCTTGTAACCCAACTGCTGGTGAGAGAAAATGGGAGGGGGATTTTTAGGGCATGCTGAGTGAGGAGTCTTTATTACTGTATGTGGGGCCATTCGAGCGAGTTTCAGAGTGAGAGTCTGATTGCTCTGCTTGTAACCCAACTGCTGGTGAGAGAAAATGGGAGGGGGATTTTTAGGGCATGCTGAGTGAGGAGTCTTTATTACTGTATGTGGGGCCATTCGAGCGAGTTTCAGAGTGAGAGTCTGATTGCTTGTATTAAAAGTGGGATAATTTGTTGCTTTCGCTGCTTGTAACTCAACTGGTGGTGAGAGAAAATGGGGGGGGGGGGGGAGGGTTTTGGGGGCATGCTGAATAAGTCTTTATTACTGTATGTGGGGCCATTCGAGCGAGTTTCAGAGTGAGAGTCTGATTGCTTGTATTAAAAGTGGGATAATTTGTTGCTTGCGCTGCTTGTAACCCAACTGCTGGTGAGAGAAAATGGGGGGGGGGGGGGAGGGTTTTGGGGGCATGCTGAATAAGTCTTTATTACTGTATGTGGGGCCATTCGAGCGAGTTTCAGAGTGAGAGTCTGATTGCTTGTATTAAAAGTGGGATAATTTGTTGCTTGCGCTGCTTGTAACCCAACTTAAAAGTGGGATAATTTGTTGCTTGCGCTGCTTGTAACTCAACTGGTGGTGAGAGAAAATGGGGGGGGGGGGGAGGGTTTTGGGGGCATGCTGAATAAGTCTTTATTACTGTATGAGGGGCCATTCGCGCGAGTTTCAGAGTGAGAGAGTCTGATTGCTTGTATTAAATGAGGCATAATCCGTGTAACTCAATAATTCGTGTGACTTTCAGAGTGAAATCATGTTACTGTGTATATTGTAGAGTCAAGGTTATTAATGGCGAGTTAAACTGTTCATATCTTTTTACCATTAGTGATTAGTTAAATTTCATGTATTCATCAACTTAAAACAAATATTCAGATTGTTTTATTTCCAATAAAATAAAAACAAAACATTTCGATTTTTTCTTTACCTGGAAGCAAAATAGTTGTCAGTTTGAACCATTCCACAAGACATGGCTGGATGCAGGCAACCGTTTGAAAAGTTATGATGCAACACGCTAGACCCTGGAAAAAAAAGAGAGAAAGGGGACGTTACAACCACATTTCTTTATAAGTAAATAAAACAATCGAATAACGACAACATAATTACTAATAACTAATGAATCATATGATCTACAGCTAATGACAAAGAGGCATTTTAAATCTTCTACAGATCCATCACTTTCGGTATTGTAAAAGAAAAAACAAGGACCAGATTAAAAATATAAAAAAAGTAATATAAAGCAAAATATTCCAGCGATATTTACCCGTACACTAAGTTGCCATACAAGCATCTTCACAGTGCATGATTGGCATTTCATCAGCAACGTCATGGCAACCGTGTTTACAAACAAAACCGCATGACCTTAAGTTAAGGGCAGTTTAGGGCCATTTTTTATCAAGAACTTTAGTGTTTAGTGCACCGAAATTGTTTTTATTCCCCATTAAATACATTGTTTTGAATTACCTGGGTGCGTAATTTGTTCAGTAAAATCAAGTATCCATAAATGCTACCGTTATCAATAGGTTTACTCGAAGTTATTTCCGGAAATAAAAATCGGAACATGGCGTTTCGACTCCGTAGACTTTTGTGTTATTGTTAACGTCCGTTATTTACTCGCGACGAAATTGTTAAACGAAAAACATTAAGAAACTAACACTTGCTTGCGTTTGATAACGTGTGTTTGTTTTCAAGCAAGGCAGCTTTAATAAGTACCCTTTTAACGCGAATATATATACACTTACACTCACATTAAAAATCTATATGTACTTATTTATGCCAATATATAATATATATATATATATATATATATATATATATATATATATATATATAAATATATATGTACACCTATGGATATAACCTAAGAGTCAAAATCTAAACAAAAAACAACTATATATATTTACACACACACACACACACACACATATATGGACATATCGTATATATATATATATATATATATATATATATATATATATATATATATATATATATACATATATAAATATATATATACATATATATATACATATATATATATATATATATATATATATATATATATATATACATATATATATACATACATATATACATATATATATACATATATATATATATATATATATATATATATATATATATATATATATGTATATATATATATATATATATATATATATATATGTATATATATATATATATATATATATGTATATATATATATATATATATATATATATATATATATACATACATATATATGTATATATATATATAATATAAGCGCGCGTGTATATATATATGCATATATATGTATAAATATATACATATATACATACATACATACATACATACATACATATATATATATATATATATATATATATATATATATATATATATATATATATATATTGCGTATGTACTTGTACATTATTATGTATTACATAATGTATAATTACACACGCAATGGTAACAAGCAAGCAAAAACGTTATCACTGGAATCGGAAGCGACCTGTCTACTTGCGAAAAGCACTAGAGAGATTAAACCGCTTCTTCTATCATACTATTAGGCATCTAAACGCCTCTACAACATTAACAATTTATCAATTAAACTTATTTCAATCAAATGATGTTATTTACCTTTACCTGTCTTTCCTGACATGCGTACAACCATCGTGTCAGAAACAAGCTGACAATACGCTCACTTCTTTTCCACACGCGAATGATAATTACTTAACTATCCCCGTGAAAAAAACAAAAACATATATAACAGTAATTCACATCAAAAAGGTTTCCGTCCCGCTCCTCTTTATCACGTTCATAAACATTATTTTTTTTATCAAGCGAGGAGGTAGGCGTGGGTGGGTGCGCAAAGCTATTGAGAAACGGGAGGGGTAGAGACCAGTCCACGGCAGCTATTGGGAGGGTTTCCAAAGAGGGGGGGTCGTAGTCCCCTCCCCCTTCACACACATACACGCACACGCAGGCTCGTCACGCAACGCCCCCCCCCCCTCCACACGCCCCTTCTCTCTCGCTCTCTCCCCCTCCTCCTTCCCCCCCTCTGTATGCCTCTCCCGCTGGTAACTTTCCACTCGCCCCGTTCACGTATTTCCCCCTCGCACCTCGCCTCCCCCAAAATGGACTCCTGTGGGCTTGGGTGTTGTTATTATTGTTATATTATTATGTAACGCGTGTGGTAATCTTATTAAGACGTTTTTATATCACATGTCACCTCACTGTTAATGAGATGATGTTACTTTATCCCACATTGTGAACATGTATTTCCCATTTCTGCACTGTTATTTTTTTAAAGAATTTTGTGACACCGTTGATGTTTTCGACTCGGTTCCAAAATATTATAGAAACTGTAAGATGCAAGTTACCATTTGATAAAGTATAAGTGTAAATCCGACAAAACATATTAAAATATATCAAAATCCTCTCTGTAGGCGCAGTTTCATGAAACTTCCCGTATTCATAAAACCACTCCAAAGACACACACACACACACACACATACAGCGTAAAAGCTGATGTTCTCAACAAGTGTATAATCCCAACTGTTACTTGTTGATATTTACCGGAGATAAGAGAACTACGACCTCTCTCTGCGACGGCAAGGCAGCAACTGCTGAAGTTTCCCGCGAGGCTCTGAGGCGTCGCTCCCTCGCCAGCCAGGCCCTCCTCCAGGCAGCCAATCACGGGGGCTTCCCTGACACACGCGCAGTGCAGCTTAAGGCCACTGTATGTATGCAGTATTTCATGATGACGAGTACAACCTCCCCTTCTTCTTCTCTTTCGTGTTGTTGTTTTTTTTCCTTTTCTCCTTCGCCCCCCACGTCCTGATCCCTTCTTCCTCTTCACCTTTTGTTTTTGTTTTTCTTCTATATCGTAGGTTTGTTTTCCTGCTTCTACTTATTCTTCTTTTCCCCCCTCCTCTTCTCTCTCTTTATCCCTATCCCTCTCCTCCTTTTCCTCCTTCTTCTTTCTCTCATTCTCCTTCTCCTCCTCATCTCTCTTCTTCACCATCACCACCACTACCACATCACCTCCATCTCCACTTCTACCACCACCACCACCTCCTGCTCCACCTCCACCACCTCCTGCTCCACCTCCATCTCCACATCCTCCACCACCAACACCATCACCACCTCCACCACTACCTCCGCTTCCACCTCCTCCTCCTTCTCCTCCTACCGAGAACTTCGTATGAATGCGTGCAAAATATTCAGGAGTAGAGATCAGTAACTCTTGTTCATCTACGAAGCGACGAAACTGGAGTTCTTCGAAGTTCTTTCCAACTGATTATTTGGCAGACCGGAACAGTTCGTTCTATCTGATTGTCCTACACTTCAGAGAAACAAAATAGATTCAAAGTACACACGTTCTTTACACAAAATTTGACCTGTAAGATGTTCCAGGTACATATTCATTAAGTATAACTGCTTAGTATTACAACAGAAGGCGAGTGTACTGGTCATCACAAAACAACGTGTTATTACAGTGAAGGAAGGAAAGGCATCCGTTAAGCTGACGAAAACAAGACGTTTCATCACAGGCAGATTAAGATATTTTTTTTAATGAATATAAACAAAAATCATAACAATGAGTAAAGTATGGTAATGAAATGGTCATGAATTTAATAACAATAACCATTAAATGAAGAATTTAAATCCATAACTGAATAAGAACATTGAATAGATGTGTAGAAGTAATCAGTAAATGAAGAAAATGGTATCAAAATATGAAAATACACGTTCGTCAGGACTTCTGATACTAAGTTCAGGATTTAAGCTATTACCAATAGGTTCGAATTTATCTAGGATTTAAGTTCAAGTGGAAAATTGAAGGCCCATTCTCTCAATATGCTTAATAGAGGCGGGTTTATGAGGGCTCGATTACTTAAAATCAATAACATGCTTCTCTACTAGATGTCGTCTGAAGCAACATTATGAAATTGTCATGTCAGTCACAAGAGTGTAATGATAACAATGTCATTACAGTCATTGCTGCCATAATGTAATATATAATAAAATGTTTTGAAAGTTATAATGATGGTAATTATAACTTTGCTACCGTATGCCATTGAATGTCTGATTACAAATTAATGTGTTGTTCATGACCCCCCCCCCTGCGCTTAATTTGTATTCATATCAACGTACTTTAATGTTCTGTGCTTCAATTTTGATGAGTAAACATTTAATCGCATTATATAAGGCTCAATATTAAGCACTACCAGAAACGATCTTATCCAAGACGAGATATTCAAAGAAGAAACTACTGCTAAACGCACTCATTAACTTTCATTTCCCGATTCCTACGTAAAAAAAATAATAAAAAGATAAAAATAATAAAAAAATAATGACTTAACACATAACAAAAAAAAAAGGAAGAATGACATCAGAAGCTCTGCTACATCGCTAGAATATCTTAATCATAATCTAAACCCTCTACATAGTACAGAAAGTGCGGGGGAGGTCAAGGCTATACTAGTTTTTGCACTTCTCCCGCCATCACTCGAGGCATGGGCTTGTGGCACTCCCGGAACCCAGCATGAGACTTTCGACCTTAAGGTTAGACACGGTAGTCATGGCCCAGGAAATGAGCCAATGGGCCCCCTCCTGTTAGGCCTCCTCGTGGAACGTAAGGTATTTGAATGATCATTTTCCTGCACTAATTCAGAGCCTAGAAGTAAAGGAGTTGGTATTTAGTCTGGTATTTATCTTTCGCCTCCTTAAAAATACCCGGAAACCGCCAAAACCCGATGCTATCTCAAAGGTCAGCAATTTTCTGCTATTGCTGCGATTATTTACCGTTACTCTGCTAAAGATAGCGGGCTATTTTTAGGCAAGTTGATATATTCAATGGAAGGCCAATCTTAATGTCTACAGTCAAGATCAATTAAAACTTCTCACCCAAACGTGAACATTGTAGAAAAACGGCCCTTTTTTACGACAAGTGCGTTTTGAGTACGAGATGTTGGCAATGTACCGTTACATGGAAGTTGTCCACGAGTGA